CGGAGTCGGAAAAGACGTTGGCGTAGGAAAGCTATAGTGCGTCTCCCCCGTATCTTGACTCGAATGATGGGAGGGAGGAAAGTGGTGGGCGGTACTAGCAGGCGATCGAGGGTTGGGCGGAGGGGAGCTGGGCTCGACAAGATCTTGTGTAGGGGGTAATCGGCGAGGAGTGATAGTCTCAGCCTCCACCTCATTCTCCTCCCGCACCGGCTCTTCCTGCTCCTCCCCCGCCAGCTTCGCATACTTTCCCCCCTCAGACCCATGCCTCGAAACCTTCTTCCCCATCTCAAAGCTCCTCATCTTCCGACTCTGTTTGCTCTGCCGGCTGGACGACGTAAAGTTTGAAGCGACCGACGGCTGGCGGGAGGGCGAGAGATAGTGGGTCTGTTGAGCTTGCGCAGCGGGTTCGGGGTTCTGGGAATGTTCTTGAAGAGGTGTAGGTTGGTGGTTATCGACCCGGGGAGAAGGAGCTTCCTTCAGCTGCGCCGCCGACGCCCTCCTCGGCCCCATAGGCTTTGTCCCCGTCGTCCTCAAACTCGCCCCACCCCCACCCCCACCGCCCGATCCAGCCTTCGTATGCGTAGGCCTCAACAAAAACGCAGGCGGCGCCGCACGCCCAAGATCTTCCGTCCTCACCCTCAACTTTGGCTGCAGTTTCCCTGGGGACGGGGACGGATAGTCGGCGTGTTTACTCGGTGAACCCAGGGTGGAGTGGCGTAGTGGTGATGGGGGATGACGTGAAGGCGAGTTGGGCAGCGAGATGCCGAGCCCTTGGGAGTAGGGCGGTTCTGCCATGCTGACTTTCTGAGCGGGTGTACAAGTGACAAGAATAGGGAGATGGTGCAAGAGATGCGTACGTTGTTTACTTCCCTGCGCACTATCGTCAGAATTCGAGAAAGAACGCGATCCCGAAAACTACCACGCGACTTTTCCTGAAAATCAGTCGTGTATATTCAGGGACGAATGCCAATTTTCGGGTCGACTGTTTGGCGCGCCTTTGTCGAGAAGGCATGCCGGTCAATCAACAATTGATCTCAAGACCACGCAGAACTCGTGTGCATACATGCAGTATCTTCATGATCGACCTAGGCAGCTATGTAGACTACTAAAAGATTTTGCCTCGAGGATACAAGTTGAACTCGACTTTTGACGCTACATTGGAACGATCTCGGGTCATCAACGCTGCTTTGCGTAACCGTTGACCAGCAATGTCAATGAGATCAAAAAGGTAACGAGCGATGGAAGTAGAGGGGCGTCGATCTAATTGAGTGCTCCAAGATAATAACCCCTGCTGTCCATCTGACGACATTGTGAGGAAACCGACTGCCGCGTTGATGGATAAACAAACGCCAAGACTTGCTTTGCGCTCTTATCAAGTTCTTTGCCCTACATGCATCGCATATAGAGGTAATAAGAGCCCATGATGGAAAAAAGCTCTACAAGATCAAGGCAGAGTAACTTGTTTGAATCTGGACAAGTGGACGGAAGAGCAGGCAAAGCACGTTCAATCACTCGCCAACAGTCGGCGGCTTCCAAGTCGGCTCCGATGCGACTCCTTTGTATGCACGCTGTATAAGAACGTATGCTAGCACATCTGCAAGGGGACACCTCCATATCCAGGCGACTCAAATGCTCCCAGACTGAGAAGATCAGGAAAAGTAGCTGTTTCCAAGTACAAGCCAGGTGCGCAGGCGGCACTGACCTCCACCTCCCCGGCTTTCATCACGCGCACCAAAAACATCGAACACATTTCCACCTCTATCTCCCGTATCCACATTTCGCCATGGCCGAGCCTCCCCCCGACAAGGCCCAACCCACCACCCCCACCGCCCCCTCCTGGCGGCGGAGAATGTCCGGCCCCCACATCCCCATCCCCTCTTTTCGCCCTAATATCCCCCATCTCCGTGCGGCCCTCCTAGGCTATATCGGCGAGCTCGAAGTCGCCCTCCGCAACAAGCTCGGCGACCACCAACAAGATCATATTCGTACCGCCTCCCTCACTCCCTCCATGTCCACAGAAGAATGGACGGCCTCCGAAAACGACGAGCCGAACGCCTTTACTTCTGCCCTCGCTGGTCCGTCATCCGGTATTCGCCAGAGAGGCGCCATATCCGGCGACGCACCTCCCCTCTCTCCCACCACCTCTGACGGTTATATTAATCTACTCAACCACCTCTACACCCTCCGCGAAGAAGCCTCCAATTTCCTCCCAACTCTTCCCTCTGTCCCCCACGTGCCAATGCCCCTGTCTAGTCCGAACCGCGAATGGCTCCGCTCTCTCCCTCTCCGACTATCCGCCGTCGACCCTGGTTTTACCAATCTCAAGGGCAAGCTCAGAGACGACCTTGGCGATTCGCATTCTGTAGAAGGGGCGAGGCAGAGGATGATGGAAGTCGCCAAGGCATTGCTGCCTTCCGAAGACTGGGCAGGGTGGGAGAAGTTGGGCTGGGAAGAGCAAGACGACAGCGAACGCCCTGCCCACCGACGTACTCGCTCAGCCTCTGCAGAGAGATCGAAGCCGAGAAGGCAGCTGGAAGACGATGACGACGACGACGAACCCGAATACCTTTTCCCCAACCGTACCCCTGCCTCCACCCGAGCTCTCGCCCGTCGGCGAGCAGTCCGCTCCAAATCCGTCGGCGCTACTTCTCTCCCCCCGCTCAACCTTCGAGAGAAACTGCAGAGATCAAAGAGTGAAGTGTACACCGGCAAGGTGCGGGCGGTCTCGGAGCCTGGCTCGGGGGATGAAGACGAAGATGATATTAGGGATCATGAGGCAGCCGAGGATATTTTGGATGAGGCGGAGCTGGAAGATACCGATGGCTTGTCTTTGCCCGAAGGGCTCAGGTTGGGTCCTACGGTCGCTGAAGCTTTGAAGCAAGCCGAGGGAGGGGAAAAGTTGATCACATTTGAGGACCTGCCGCCCGTCTGGCGAAACAATGAGCACATTTGGACGGGATAGTGAGTAACGTCCTTCTGCTTTGGCGACTACGCTGACGTGTGTACAGTCGCTTCATACCTCTTCATCTCAAGACCGGCCCAGTACCTCTTCTCAAGTCGGCTTTCCGGTGGCACAACGAAACCAGTGAGTCTTTCGTCGACACCAATATCTTTTCCGACTGACTTTGAAACCAGTCAACATCCATTCCCACTCCATTCCTACCCTCTTCATCTTCTGTATCATCCCTGTACGTCATTGCCTCCCCCTTTCCGATCTGCTAGCTGACCTCGGCGCAGCTCATCATCTATCGCTCCCCTCTTCCTGATCCCCACTTTCTCGACACGGCCGTCATCGTCCTCTACCTCCTTGCTGCTTCATCATGTATGAGTTCTTCCGCAGGCTGGCATATCCTGAGCGGGTGCGCTTCCAGGAAGTGGTTTGAATGGGGCGCCTGTGTCGACTGTAAGTCCCTCTCCCACTTCACCTGCCTAGCTTACGAATCCTTCAGATATCGGTATCTCATGGCTTATCGCCGCCAGTTTCGGAACTGTCGTATATAACGGCTTCTACTGTTCGCCCAAAGCTACTATCGTCTATTGCTCTACCAACCTATTCTGCGGTGCTCTCGGGTCTTACTTGCCGTTCCAGAGATGGTTCAACGAGCGTCGTAACAAGGTTCGTACTCTTCTCTCTCTCTCTTTGAGCGTGTTCAGAGACTGATGGTGGGAGTAGCATCTGAGAATTTCCTTCTTCCTTTTCCTCTGCGTTGCCATGTTTACGCCGATCGTGCACATGATTCTCAAACACGGCTGGCATAAAGCAAGCTCTTTCATCGGTACATCTCCTCTTTCCCTTTCTTGAAGATATCGCGGCTGATATCCTCTAGCTCCATTCACCTACTCCCTCGCCGCATACGCCATTGGCCTTATATTCTACGCTTTCCATTTCCCAGAGTGCAAATGGCCTGGAAAGTTCGATACGTTCGGCGCTAGTCATCAAGTACGTCTTCCTCCATCTTCCTCCATCTTCCTCCATCTTCCTCCATCTTCCTCCATCTTCCTCCATCTTCCTCCATCTTCCTCCCCCTCCCCGTTCCCCTCCCCGTGCCCCTCCCCTTCTCCCTTCCTCTTCTTCCCCCACCATCCCCCATTCCAATTTACTCGCTAACTCTTATCCAGATATGGCACGCCGGCATCGTCATCGCCATCATCCTCCACTACCGCGCCATCTTTATCGTCCACGATATCAAACACGAATATTCATGCGCTTTGCCGGGGAATGAAATACCGTTGGGGTTGGCTTTGGAGCGGATGATTGGGTGGGCTTGAGTGCTGAGACTAGGAAGGGAGTGGCGGGGAGGGTGTGTTGGAGATATCTTGTTGGGGTGATGTCGTCCGCTGGACAGGTCAGCGATGGGTGGTGAGGGCGTTGTGGAAGACGTTGACGGAATAGAACGGGCGTGGGCTTGCCGGCGTCGTAGGATAATGTCAGAGTAGTTGTACAGCATCGCAGACACACGATAATATAACGTATCAAGAAGTATACCATGCATATTGGCTAATACCCTCTCTTATACCCTGAAGCGGCTGCCAGTCATTATGAAGCACCTCGCATCCCTCAAATAACATTGACTGTCCTCGGCTTCAAATATAGTATATATGAATTACTAGACCATGCTCAGTGAGCTATGGCAGCTCGAGCCCACCAGCGGACATGTAGCCGAAGAAAAGTCAGAGAGTGTACGAGGGAGGATTTTTCTCTTATATTGTCACAAGTTACAATACGTTTCGACCGTTCGACGTACCTCCCGGGCCCTCGTGTGTTCAAAATCACATAGACGATACACATACGACGTACAAGTGAGAGAAAAAGTTTGAGGGTGCGGTGGTCAACGTCGTAGCGACTCGAGAACTTTGACAAGACCAAACAAACATCTTGTTGGGGGCGCCGGATGTGTTGGCGGATAGAGCCCCGGTAGAGCCTCTTGTGCGTTATGTTCCGGCATCTTACCAGGCGATGGGGACATGACTATAACACTGTATGACAATTGCACAATGCATCGGCCGAAGTGGATGATAAGAACCTAAGGTCAGTATAACATCCCTCAACACTCGCTGCCGATCGATACAAGTACGTCGCCAACACCATCGTACAGTCTCTTGACCGTAACACCATGACATACGTAAACTCGGTTTGATGCTGGCTGCTGCCGGCCCAGAGTAACATCCGTGCGCCCTTCTAACCCCTCCGCGAGAGGATCCGTCGCTGTTCCAGATAAACTCCAAGCAGCATGTGAGTGTATCCAGGCAGGAGAATTGTGTGACGGCACATCTGACGCGCTACCAGTAACATTGTCTACGTCACATCCCTTGCCCGACTTGTCTTTTGACGGCCAGCCTCTCCCTTCGTCTGCAACAGATGTCAACAACCCTGCGCCCTCCGTCAATGCCATCCCACAGCCTTTGCAATGGTCGTCAGCCTATGTCGAGGCCTCTTCGGGTTCTGCGAGAAGTTCCTAGGTCCCGCCAGTCTGACAGATATCGCCCTCATAGGACTTGCAGGAGGAGATGATGCGAGAGGGCGCGAGTCCTGTCCCTGCTCTTGTGGTTCACCTTGTGCCCCTTCTCGCACAAGCCCCATGAGCCCCACCATCCCCGCAGATCGCCCTTCAGCATCCCCCCATCCCATTTCGGCCCCTGACTCCCTCGCGGGGTTCAGAGAAGCGGCGGATGAGGAAGGAAGAGCAACTCGCGGCTGCTGGGGGCTGGGGCGCAGCAGCGCCAGGAGAACTTCTCACAGAACCCGAATAGACCTCGACAGAGGCTGATGACCTTCGCAAAGGCTGTGGGATGGCATTGACGGAGGGCGCAGAGTCGTTGACATCTGTTGCAGACGAGGTCATAGACTGGCGAGGGTTGTTAGAGATGCGTGGGAGGAGAGTGATGAGGTGTACCGGACTTACCCTATACTCGCCCTGGTGATTCTTATGGGGAGTCTCCTCGGTACATTCCGGCTTGGAACAAGTACCGATCTTTCTCTTCTTAAGTGGAGGCGCGCTGAGTTGAATTCGGGCTCGGCCACGGTGAGGGGATGTAGGGCAGTGTGTGGGAATGGGATGAAGGGACGCGTTCACAGCTGGTTCACAGTGAGAGAGACGATGGGCGCAAAGCATCAACAACGACAGTAGGTATAGGATATTTCCGAAAGTGGCAGAAGAGATAAAATGGCAGATGACAAAAGAATACTGCCAGTATCCGAACGGGGACAGGAGAAGACTGCTGGTGCCCAATAAGGGAAGGGTAGAACCGTTCCATTCTTGAAACGGCTGGATATCATGTTTTGCCTTGAAAATCGGAATACACAATTGACATGCACTCCAAAAACGGAAAGTGAAGAGATCTCTTTTTCCAAAACTGGCATCAAATTATCCCGAGAAAGCTTTCATAATACAATTGTAATCCGACTCTTCCCGGTTGTTATCTACTAATAATATATTAGATGTTGGGCCATCCCAAGATAGCATCGATCCCTAGCTCGGTCAACATATTTGACAGTCATCCCCAAAGTACCCTCCGCATACACCACGAGAAGAGCTTTCACGATATCGTAAAAGAGCTCTTCATTCCTTACCTGATGTGATCGATGGTCTCGGAGTCGCCGAACGTATATTATACATTATATACAGTCAGCGGCCTACGTTATACCACTACGACATCGAGCGAATAAGGGTTCAAGTTGACCAGCAAAGTGTACAAAAGACTACAGGCAACAAAAAAGCGAGACGAGTGGGGTAAAGTAGTCAGGTGAGCGCATTGGGGCGTGTCGGGCTACGTCGTACGCCTCACTAGAAGAAAAGAAGGTGACGAGAACGAGTAACACTGAAAGAAGACAAAGACAAAGAGGGAGCTGACAGCTGACAATGAAAGAGTCCATGGGGCGAGTCAGGGGCTAGCTCACGGCTCACGCTACAAGCATGTTCCTGATATGATTCTTGATCTTACTGCATAAGAGATACACAATGCATCGATCCTAGTGGGCGATAAAAATCTAAGTCTAGTATAACAGCTCTCATCATATCGTACGTCAAAATCAACGGTGAGCACATCACTGGCTCCATCGACGCCACCTTTGGATCACAAAACACTTTCCGTCGCCTTATAGCATAATCAATCCCTATGTGGTGCTATGCTGCTCTCGTCACCATAGTCATTATTCCTAGGAATCTGACACATTCTGAGGACTCCCATGGCAATCAACGCCCCTCCTCCTTGATATAGTTGGTCGAATATCCAAGAGCGACGTTGACCGATGAAGACGATGACCTCGTCTATCGCTATGCCGGCACTTCCATCATCCCAGCTTTTGTGTCAGCTTGTAGACATCTATTTTTACCCGGGCTGAAGGGCAGTAAGGAGAGTCGGCCAATTATCTCCACGATGGACAAAGCGTCAGATACGAGCGGATATTACGACAGTTGGATCCGACCAGTATCGCAATCTGACTATACCAAGCCATGATCCCAGAATCACAGTGATATGTAAGGCCCACGTATCACTTCAAGAAGACACATCCCGTCCTTATATTTCAATCAATCATCAGCGGGCCGCCAGGACGTGGTAGAGTGGTTTCAGCAGGCCGAAAGCTATGACCGTGACCTTGCAATCTCCCCTGGAAACAACAATATCACCGCGGCCGGGGACTGAAAAGCACTGTGCGGTACATTGCATCTTCCACTATTCTTCCAGTCATCTGTAGCTAGCATCCTTTTGATTCACTTCGGGATGATGGATGATCGTCGCCGAAGCTTACTCGTCTTTTCCTGCTTGCGCCATACTCTGGTTCCGCGCTTTGATACATTCCAGTTCGCCGTGTGATGCAGTATCATTCTCGAGGGCACATGGCTATTCCAACCAATGGTCTCTGCATAGCATACACGCATCACTCTACAGGCACCCCCCCGCCTTGACGGCTGGTCCAAGTGCCACACTCGCCTGATTTCGCCTGATTAGCGGGACCAAATGCCCCCTCCCCCATCCTTTGTAATGAAATTACCGCTTACGGGAACCGCGGCATCAAATATTTCTAATCACGCCTCCTAATCCGCGCGGGCCCATCCGTCTTGCTGGACAACAACACTCTCTCTCTCTGCCTCCCTCTCCCCCACCCCAGCGCCATCCATCAAGCCATGCAGACCATCAAGTGTGTAGTCGTCGGCGACGGTGCTGTCGGAAAGTGAGTCTCTTCCATCTTGCCTGGCTGGGGTGGCACACGCACCGCCCCCTGGCTGTCCGTCCCGACTCTCGCTGAATGCCTGCTGTTCAGAACCTGCCTGCTCATTTCATACACTACCAACAAATTCCCCTCCGAGTATGTTCCCACCGTGTTCGACAACTGTAAGTCTCCCCTCCCATCTACCTGCGCAAAAGGCCGAGTGGGTGCTGTAAACAAGTCCCATCAAAACTCTATCTCTTCGACCACCAAGCTAATTTATGCCACAGACGCCGTGAGCGTAACCATCGGGGACGACCCCTACACCCTCGGCCTCTTCGACACCGCCGGCCAAGAAGACTACGACCGCCTCCGCCCCCTCTCCTACCCCCAAACCGACGTCTTCCTCGTCTGCTTCTCCGTCACCTCCCCCGCCTCCTTCGAAAACGTCCGCGAAAAGTGGTTCCCCGAGATCCAACACCACTGCCCCGGCGTGCCCTGCCTCATCGTCGGCACCCAGGTCGACTTGAGGGACGACCCGGTGAATATCGAGAAATTGCAGAGGCAGAGGATGAAGCCGATCAGTGTGGATATGGGCGAGAGGTTGGCGAGAGAGTTGGGGGCTGTCAAGTATGTCGAGTGTTCGGCTCTGACGCAAAAGGGGCTGAAGAATGTCTTTGATGAGGTGCGTCTTGTTGTTGCTTGAGGGGTGGTTGTCGCGCAAATGGACTGGGGCCCGTGCTGATGGATATGTACAGGCCATCGTCGCTGCTTTAGAACCTCCCATGGCGACAAAGAAGAAGAGCAAAAAGTGTCTCATCCTCTAATCCCCCTCGTCATCATCATCCCTCCCCGACAAACATCATCCTACCACATCCCAGACCATCCCCCGTATACCCACGCCTACACCTCGTCCCTTTCGACATTCCTTTTTCGCCACCCACATCTCTCTCTCTCTAAGCGTACTTTCGGAGTGTAATCCTCTTTCGCTGTCGATATCGAGAGGTCTCTTTTCTCCTACCCTTCTTCATCCCCTCCCGCCTTTTTTTGCGCGGGGGCTGGTTTTCGTCTAAAGGGATCTATAGACCTTCACGAACCTATCAAACGCTGAAGTGTAGGGATCAGGGGATTGTTTGTAGGAGTCAAAGTTTGGAACGTATACCCCCCTGTGTCTTTCTCTGTTTTCCTCGCCCATCTTTCTGCCCCCGTTTCTCGTTCCCCGTCCTTATACAGATATATCTTTTCTATTTTCCTTCTTTGTTGCGGGATGTAACGGCGCTTTCCCTTCCTTCTCTCTCTCTCTCTTCTTTGGCCTCGTTCGGACGCGATGTGTTGATGCATAGATATACAATGATGATACAACAGTCCTGACCGCAAGAAGGCAAGAAGGCAAGGGGAAATCACAAGAACCCCCTCCCAGTGCCCTTGGCAAACACCTTAACACTCCCCGTCTCCAACCTATACTGCACCGGCTTTCCCCTCCCAACCTCCACCCACTCTCCACCCTGTGACTGCAAATCACCAAAAGGATGCACCGAAATCTCACCCATCACATCCCCGCTCCGCCCACTCGCCAAATGACTCACGCGCCACCAACACCCCGTGCCCACCCTCGTCAGCCCTTCTAGCAGACTGGCGTCTGGTCCGGGAGTGTAAGGGGCCGGGGAGGGCAGGGGGAGGGAGTCGGTGTGGAGGGTTGTTGTTATGATTGATTTTGACTTGTGGCGAGTTAGCTTGAGTTTACGAGATATAATGAGAAGAGGGAGGATGGGGCGTACTTGACGGACTTGATAATAGACAGCTCTGACGAAACGCACAACCTCATCCACCCCCATACCCATATCTACCAACCCCCCAAGCCCATCCACTATGACCACCACCCCCTCTCCCATATGCGGTACCACCGCATCATACACTTCTCTCAAAGACGGTTTGCCTTCCTTATCAAAGATCCTAGGGGTACCGGGTGAGACGGGAATGATGTGCGGCAGGGAGGACGGGGCGAGGTGGATGAATTGGGGTGAGGTGGCGGGCGGTAGGGGCGTACCCTACACTTCTGCTTCAGCTCTTTCCCCTCTTTTCTTTTCACAAATGACAAGCAAGAGACGTACAATCTTCTTCATAACAGTCTCCAAACTCCCCCTCCCCTCCCCTCTCAGATCGACCCAGACCACCTTGCGTTTTTGTTCCTTGTTCCCCAGAGCTGCAGCGAGAAGGTGGTAGAGGGCGAAATAGGCAGGGGAGTTGAGAGTATCGGAGATGACGAGGTGGGAGCTGGGCGGGGGGAGGGGGGCGGAGTTGGGGAAGGGGAGGTGGGGTGTGAGGAATGTCATCTTGGTCGTTGTCCGAGACGGATCGCAAAAAAGTCGGGAGATGCGTTCAAGTGTCAACAAGTCGTCAGTGAAGCCCCCCGCGACTGCCTCCACTCTCCCACGGTCCCACAAGCGGTGATGGCCGCAGCACGCCATCCTCCACCCTCTTGCTCCACATGACCTCTCACTGTCCCCCAGCCAGCAGCATGTCCCTCCGTCTCCCTTTCACATCCCGCGCCGCCAGAGCAATCAAGCCCACTGCATTCGCCCCCGCTATGTGAGTCATACACGTCGTACAACGACCAAGCTGACGAGAACAGCCGCTCAGCCCTTCCCCGCCTCCCACCCACCAAGCCCGCTCAATACAGAATGACCTCCGTCCTCTCCTCCGCCGCCAACACCGCCCACTCCGCCTTTGCCTCCCTCGCCTCCGTCGCGCAGACCAAACCCGGCGACACCGTCCCCAACGTCGACATCAAGATCGACAGTCCCGAGGGGAAACTCAACCTGTCCTCGCTCACCGGCAAGAACGTCGTCGTCACCGTGCCCGGCGCCTTCTCCGGCGTCTGCACCAACCAGATCCCCTCCTACATCGCCCAATACGACGCTTTCAGAGCCAAGGGCGTCAAGGACATTTACGTCGTCGCCGTGAACGACATTTTCGTCGTCAATGCCTGGAAGGACAAGCTCGAGGAAGGTAAAGCGAGTGGGATCAAGTATGCCGCAGACGACTCTGCCAAACTCGCAGCGTCCCTCGGCCTAGTTCTCGACGCCGTTCCAGTCTTTGGCGGACCCCGTCTCAAGCGCGGGGCGCTCATCATCGAGGACGGTAAGGTCCAGCACGTCGCCGTCGAAGACAGTCCTGGTGATAGTACGTCCCCTTCTTTCCGGGTCAAGTCAAGTATTGGCGCTGATGGAGTGGCTACAGTTACTGTTTCTCACGCCGACTCTGTGCTCAAGGCGCTTTGAACCGACGTATCATCGGGAAAGTATTGTGAAGAAGGGTGACAGAAGTAGCAAATTATGAAAAGTAGCGACATGAAAAATGTATCTATATCTCCAAGTCGAACGACCTTTGACACTCATCGCCCATCTACAAATCACATTTGTACAGGTTGTGCATGTTTCATCTACCTATTCATCGACCAGCTTTTCGACTACACACTTTACATATTGAATGACGGGTTGCCAAAAGAGTCCTCAACTTGAGAAGCTAATCTATTTGACCCTCTTTTGGTGTTTTTTTCCTTCCCTGCTTTTCCTTCTCCTTCTAGATATTCGCTCAAAAAAAGTACAAGAGTCGTGCGGTTTGTTGGATTCAGTCTGTGAATGGGGGAGCGAGTAGAGTGGTGATGAAATTATAGAATAAAGCAGATTCCTCCCCCCTCCTCCCCCCTCAATCACTCCGGGCTCTGCGCTCAAACAAGCAGACACCCCAAGACATATGATTCTCCCTGTCGTACACAAAAAAGTTTCAAAAACCCAAAAACTAAATATACCTCCCCTTCTTTACACACACACACACAGAGAGAGAGATAACGACCTCACTTGGCAACAGCAGTCTTATTCACCGCCCCACCAATACTCGCCCGCGTAGCCCTTTTCGGCATCGAAGCTGCGACGCCGACTTGGGTGTTCTTCGTCCCTTGCCCTTGACCTTGCCCCTGCTTGGCCGCCGATGCTGGCGCCGTCGCCGGGGTCGGCGCTGGAGCTGATGCAAGCCCCTGAGGCTTCTTCGACAAAGGGCTCGAAATCGTAGCCCTCCTCCTCTTGGGGTTCGGACACTCTGGCGCCGCTCCATCTGCCTGCCTAACCAACGCACCCTTGGGGCCAAAAGCACCCGAGCCAGCCGGAGCAGCCGAAGAGGGAGAAGTTGGGTTCGTAGCGGGGGCGCTGTTGTTGTTCGTGGAGGGACGGAGGTGGGAGTTGGAGTTTGGAGCAGAGGTGGATAGAGCGGGGAGGTTGGGCGTTGATTTGGAGGTTGGTGGAGCTGGGGGAGTGTGGCGGCGGGGGACAAACTGTAACCTCATTAGTATATGTCGAGTCTTCCAAACGATGGATACGTACGGGCAAGCCGAAAGACTCGGAAGGCGGGTGATCAGGCTTCAGTCCGGCAAGCGTAGCAAACTATACCCCAGTCAGCATCACCTCACCAACGAATCGTGTGATACTCACGAGCTGGAAAAGATCCTCTCTCAACACACTCGCCAACAGACTTTCTTCCGGCAACTTTGCCCTCCTCGCAAACTCTCTCGCTTCACTCAGGTGGACCCATACGCCGCTGACACCGTGGCTATACTCTACGCCCGCCGCAGAAGGGTGGACGAGGTGCCGAGCGCTGGCGCGGGCCTGAGAGATTGGGTTGTCGAGGTATTCGGCGTGTTTACCGGCAGGGACGCTCAAAGCATGTAAAAGAGCGTTCGCGTTCACTATCACATCGTCAACTTCATCCTCGATCGAAAGCGCAAATACTCACCAAAGTCGGTATCCAAACGTCGCAACAAGACTTGCTTTCCACTCCCGTTCCTCCCATCAAACAGATGGGCATACACCGGGATATTATCCACCACACAAGCGTCAACGCCAGGGCAAAGCGGTTTTGTGATGGTAGCGATCTTGCCGCCAGAACGGGCACCGGTGCTCGTACTGCTCGTACTCGAGGTCGTACCGGGGGTTGAACTTCGCGAAGGCGGGACACTGGCAGCAGGTTGGTTGATAGGGCGCGGCGCGGCGGCCTGAGTGGTAGGAGAGGTCGCTTTGACAGCACTCGGAGTCGCAGCTGGAGCAGGGGGAGGTTTAGCGGTAGGAGCGGGAGGGATGGGCGATTTAGCAGGCGCTGAAGGGGCGGAGCTGGGTATGGCAGTTGGCAGAGCCACCACCGCAGTAGTCTTTTCGCTCGGGACAGATGTAGAGACCACAGTAATGGGCGTGGGCTGTACCGTTACCGAAGAAGTCGCAACCGAGGCGGTAGCCGGGCGAGGCGGGTTCGCAGGGGTGGTTAGAGGCGCGAGAGGTGTTTCAGGTACAGGCGCAGCCATGATAGCGTCCACCTCTTGTTGACTCAACGCCGCATCCAGCATTCCCACCTCCAACCCCGCATCCAGACTCGCAGCTCCGAGACCTTGACCAAAGATACCTCCCATCGGCGGGCTGACAAGCGCCTTGGGATCGACTCCCGTTGAAGACTCGCCGGGGTTGGAAAGAGAGAGGTTGGAGACACTGTGGAGAACCATGGGACTGAGAACGCCAGGAGTTTGAAGCGAGTCGGTCGAGCTGCTTCCCCACGGGACAGTAGACTGAGGGTCCTCCCAAGGACTTGGCGTAACGTCGCCCTCTGGCAACTCTTTCTTGACAGTCTCCCGATAGGCCTCCAACATCGCCTTATGCCTCTCCGCCTTTTCCTTGCTCGCCTTCCTATGCTTCTCCTCTTTGGCATCCGCCTCCGCCCTCGCCTTGTCAAAGTCTTCCGTTCCGATCGCATCGTCCACCTCCACCTCGCAGTCGGCGCCGATATCGCTCTCGGGGGTGATCAAACGTTCAAAGCAAGTCTTGCTCTTGCGTCTGCGCGTGGCGGTGGTGGCACTGGAGCGAGAAGATCGCTTGCCCGAAGAACAAACGCCGATCCCACCCCAAGACCCCCACTTTGCATAATCCTCCTTCCCCTTTGCCTGCACCTTCTTCCCCTTCCCTGCCCTGGTGCGATGCGGCGTCCGATGTTGAGAAGCCGGCAACCACCCATCAATCTCATCCACACTGACGCTCTCCGGGCCCAAGATAATCTCATCAACGTTGTAGCCCACGCCGTATTCGTCATAGTCGGGCGAGTCGCTCGAGTCGTACGAAGGGGTAAGGCTGGCGCGAGAGCAGGGCATGGGTTCGTCTTCAATCGAGGACGGGGTAGGGAAATCTTCAGGCTCGGATTTGACGAGGATAGTCGAAGAGGCTTCTTGTGCCCAAAGAGCAGTATGAAGATGTCGATCATGCTCGGGCGAAGCCACATCGTCGATCGTAGACCCGATATCGACATCCGAAAAGCTGTCTTCCGCCTTGACTGGCAGCTCTCCCGACTCGTCCAGCCACGCAGAATCATCGTCCACCTCCATACTCTCATCTTGGTCAAACTGACCCCGTAGCTTGGAAAAGTGTTGGGTGGGGCTGAAATCGGGTTGGGATTGGGCAAGCGTGCGAGACGGGCGGACTCGAGGAGAAGCGACAGGGCTAAAGTTGACTATCCAGCTATTGAGCGCAAGACCGCCAGCGTCGACAGCCTTGAGTTTGCCGCGCAGCCCAGTACGAGCTGTACCAGAAGTCGCGATAGAGGCAGGCTCACTAAGACTCGGCGAAGTCGTCCCGTTAGGCCGGTCGACAGTCTTGGCGAGGTCAAACTCCCTATCATCTGACAGCATCTCGTCATCCTGCGTTTCCAGGGGGAACAACGCCCTCAGCGCATCCGTAGCTTCCTTGACTTTCGCCTCATCCTCTACCGACCAAGCCGCCTTATTCTCCTCCTCCATCTCCTCCTTGACGATGATATCCGACCACATGCCCCACTCTGGGTCGACCACCTCTTCATCTGAGGCCGCGCTAGTTTCAATCTTGGGAGACTTGCGGTCCATCCAGACGGTGTTGTCGAGAGGGTGGGAGGGGAAGGACGACGCGGCAAGTGTACCGGGGGACATGGGGTGGACGGGAGCGGGAAAGAAGAGGTCGTTGAACGGAGAACCGGTAGGGAGTCGATTGTTGCCGTAGGTTCGGGGAGAGCCATTGAGAGCAAGAGGTGCGGGTAACCCTCGACGTGTCGGGCGAGAGGGTCGAAGACGATTTTTGGGATAACCCTCCATATCGGAATCGCTCGAGTCGCTATCCGAAGACGAATCGACAACGTCCCTAGCCTTCCATGACGCCGACCTGTCCACCCTCTTTGTCTGAACTCTGGGAGGCGGAGGAAGCATCAGACCAGCGCGGTCCAACGCATTCTCTTTCCCCACCCCGACGCTCACACTCCTCGACCTCGACTTGCTCGTCCTCTCGCTCCCAGTCTCATCATCGCCCACCGCAGCTCCTCCCAATACCAGCCTGATCTTGACTGGCGCCAGTGGTTTGTCCTTGCTCTGCTTTGCCTTCTTTCCATCCGACTTTCTGGGAGCAGGCTTCTTGGGGGGCGGTTTAGGAATCTCCATCCCCTCGAAGGGACTCTTCCACTTTATCTTGGCCGCCCCCGGCCCACTCTGCAGAAACCACACAGGCCCCTTTGGCCGTTCGCCATGCTCAAAAGCAGCGGGATGGAGGGCAGACTCGAGAACTTGCTCAGCGACGGAACCATTGAGATGTTGTTTCTGGAGGAGGCAGTGTCGTTTGGCTTTTTCGCAGCGTTTGATGTAGGAGCGGATGGCGTTGTTGATCACATTTGTAGGTTCAATGGCGGCGGAAGGGGGACGGAGCCAGCCTTGCTGAAAGCACGTCGACGCTATCTCTTCGGGTGACAAAGCACGGTTATCCTACGCCAAAAGTCAGCTCGGGCCCATATCGCCAACTAACAACATACCAGAGATGCTATCGACGAGAAAATCCCCATCAAAACCTCATCCGCCTCATCCTCCTGCGAGATACAACACTTGTTCCTCCCGCCCCATTGCGACGGAAAGGGACAAGGCCTCCGCTCTACCGCATTTCCCGCCCTCCTGGTCCCATGCGTCTTTGCCTCCACCGCCAACGTTTTTCTCAAGCTCCCTCCTCCCTTTCCTGGATCACTTTCAGGCGTCGGTGGGCCCGGGGTAGCAGGGCTGGCGACAGAGACGGCTGAAGCGGAAGCAGAAACTCGGTGGGTACGGGCGGACGTCCGTAGTGAAGTGGACGGGCCTGCACCGGGTGTGGCTGGTTGGGCTTGGGGAGCCGGTCGGATGGGTCTTGCCATACCGCGTGGGGATCGGAAAAGGGGATGAGCGCTAAGCTTGGGAGAGGATAATGTGTTCCTTCCCTAGCTTGGCGGAGGTGATTATTGGTTGGGGGGATGCTCAGATGTCGTGATAAGATAATTGGCGGGAAAAAGCTGTGGGGTTGATTTTTGTGTTGCGGGTGGAGGTAGAGATGCGGAAGGGGGATGAAGAAGTGGCAAAAACAGACAATGGTCAGCGGAAGATTCGTACGCCCTTGGGTGGCAATTAAAGGGACAGTGCCCGGGGGCTAAGGGAGGGCGACGCACTGCGAGCTGGGCGGTGGCGGTGTATGATTTTATGTTTCTTTGCGAACAGGTAGACCAGCTATGGAGCGCTCGAGGTTGGTGGAGAGAGCGTATGCGGGAAAGAGCCGTGGACGGTTGGTTTTTGCTGGGTTTGCGGTGCCGAGAGGGATGATCGATCTACGTTGTCTCCTCCTTTATGCCGATAGTCGATATGCCGTCGCGCTGTCGCTGTGCTGGTGGGGCAAAGGCGGCGAGTATCTGGGTATAGGTGAGCGAGGCTCGGGTTGTTTTTAAAGATTGAGATGTAGAGAAGAGAAAGAGAAGATGAAAAAGAAAGTTGACGTGGTTAAGGGAATTGCCGGCGCGCGGCGGTTTTGCTCCAACAAAACACCACCGCACAGACATTCACCCAACCTAGACACATGCAAGCACCTCCAGCCCTCCCAGCTATGCCAGAGTCCCCCCTTGCATTGCTTCTCATGCATACGCAGTTAAGAGTTCACGACCGCCCACTCAGCCACCGCCAGCCAGACAAAAACTCACCTGCGCGCCGATCCCTCTCGTTTTCCCTGTGCTCGCTTCCTTCTTTGCGCACAAGAACACGTCTCCTTTTACACGTTGTTGTTGTCCTCAGTAGCTCGGTCGCGTTGTCGCTGATGGCTGTGTTGATGCTACACAAGCAGGTAGACAAGGAGAGGGGTGCGAGCGTAGATACCGTTGGGTGTATTCTCCGATCGCCGAGTTGCCAAATGAAGTCACCCCAGCTGGATGCCGTATCGGCTATGTAGAGCTAGGGGGGTCGTCGGCCGGCTGGGCGAGGAGGGGGTGCGAGGGGGATGTGTACGGGGGAGAGATAAGAGGAGTTGTCAATGACTGCATACATGAATCCTTTTTTTCGATAAGCCGGCCCCACTGATACTGAGCGATGACACGCCTGACGCTTGGCTCTTCGCACTCTCATTTTGCCGCCAATCACAGATTCCAGCTCTTCCACCACCCAACCTTCTTGACAGGTTCCAGATCTTTTGCCCCAAAAAGCACGTCAAAATCACGATGAAAACTTTAAAAGGGAAGCCGCCGGAATGTTCCGAGATCGGAATTCGTCATTTAAAGTCGCGTCGCGCTGGCAGCGGCGATGCCCGACGCGTCTATGTCTTTCAACCTGTGCATCAACGAGAGAGATAATGCCCAAGGCATACACATCAGAATAGAGTACTTGGAGCTAGCTCTCGCAATATGTCACGATTGGTCATGGCCCGGCAAGGAACAATTGGAGTTGCAACGTATACAGCTGAGACTCTCTCGAGCGAAACGGCTGGAGGAAGACGCCAGAGTACGTGTATATGGCGGGCAGTTGGATGACGTACTCGTGCGCAAGTCAGTTCTTGGCCAGTAAATACCATAACCTCATTACTCCATCACATCTCGCTCCTGCTAAAGTCAAGAAGACACACAATCAAGAAGTCTCACTGTCCTGCTAATTCTCCTCAACTTTTCCAAGCGAGACAAGCCACTCCGCCCCACTCATGAAACGCTGTCTCTTTCCGATAGTCGCCCGATACCCACTAGGCGTGTGATATGAGAAATTGCAATCCCCTGTTGCACTAACCGGCGCAGCATCCAACAGCTGAGCCGCTGCTGTCAACGCTTCAACGTAGCCGTCTTCCGGGAGTATTCCAAGAATCCGCCTACTCAAAGGTTTCCCTCTGGTTGCCTTTTCGGGTTTCCTGATGGCGAATGCGTGTTCGCCTTCAAACCCCAAGTAGCTATGGTCGAAGTCTTTCTCGATATCCCACCTCGTCACGTTTGAATTCGACTGTCCTTCAACGACCTGTCCAGAATCCTGCTGGTTGAAGAACGACTGTATATCTAGGTTTGTCGTAGCGCTCTCCACAAACCGCCTAGTGCTGTTGTCAACACCATAATCGCGTATATCAACTCCCTCTATCGGTTCCGTGCTTCCATTGAAAAGAACACCTTTCTTGCGAATCTTTTCCAGCCTTTCCGATATAATCGTCGAGGCTTTGAAAAAGATCGTACTACCCCTTGTTTCTCTGGTGGCTCGGATCGTCCATTTCATCCTGTCGCCTTCCTGCTGCCCATCTTGGCTGCCGCTCCTCACACCGTCCATCCTATACTCCCCGTCCCAATAAGTAAAGCCGTTCTTGACAGAAGGATTGTCGCCCTGAGACAGGACGTCAATGACGTTTCGCAAGTTTGTCACTCGCGATGCAAACTTGGGGTCGGAAAGCATATGCTGCTTCGTCTTATTGAATTCATCAATCGACGCGGTATTCGGTGCCGTCGTCACTCCTGCATTCCCTGTTGCGTCTTCAAGCAATATTCTCCACTCGTCATTCTGGATGAATGTCTCTTTCCTACTCTCTAATCTGCTTTCTGGATCGAACACATCGTAGCGCGCTGTCGAATCTACCATGTCCCAGCCATCAACCTCGAGCACATTCCAGTCTTTGGACTGGGGCGGCGAGGTCTCTGAGGAAGGGCCACTGAAGAAGGTTTTGAGGCGATGGGGGATGGCAAGAGACGACATTGAATTCGACCAGTCAAGTTTTCTTGTCTTGTAGTGCGGAATTGGAGAATGAGCTTTTGCCCCCTATATATACTATATCTGAACCGAACGACGTGCTCCGAAAAGCTCTCTGTTCATGTCCACTTTTAGGTCAATGGGTCCTTGAATATACATCAGTCTCGTCCATGAAAGGATGACAGAAGCCGTTTATACCCGTGTAACAATAAGGTCATAGAGTCACGGGTAGCCAAAGGATCATCTGGAAGGAAACTCATCCCCAGCAAAAAAAGAATGCAGACCGGTCTCCTTGTTTCACATAGATATACACTTATCCCCAGTCCATGTGAAGGTGTGTCTTCATATCCTACTCTACATTGCAACAGCCTCATCTCTTCTTTCGTAGATCGCGTTCGTTATAACATCACGGTCCCCATCTTGCGTCCTCAAAGTCGGCTGGATGCGACGGTGGCTACGATAAACAATCAGCATGCTCGCTTGCTCGACCGCAAACCACAAACACCAATCTTACCTTGACACACAATACCGTTTCCTCGGCCTCATATCACTCAACATAACATTCCACCCCTGCATCTCTCAACCCTCATTCCCCTTTCGTTCCACCCCCCTGACGTCCTTCTCCTCCCCATCACCTTCTCACCCTGATCGCCCTCTTACCCTGCTTCCGAGCCTCAAACACATACAACCTGTCCATCATCTCCACCGAAACCGCCTTCATCGTAAACGAAGCGCCTCAAGCCCACGTCCCCGACTCTTCATAGAAAACCGTCGCCCATGTTGGAGGCGTCTTCGAGGTCGTCTAGGAGGTTTGGGACTTTGGTAGATGTTGTTATTGAGGGATGGTCTGAGGAGGAATAAGGGGACAAAGGTGAATTTGGGGTGGGAGAGTGAGCTGCTGGGAGGTTGATGTCTATGGTTGATGTCTATGATAGCATCAGCTAGTCGTTCTTTTCAAATGACACACGACCGCTCTGTGATATGATGCCTCTCTAGGAATATTGAGCACTGTGAAGATGAGAGATGAGAGATAAGTATGATTTTGTTTGATCGTTGAACGACGCACAGACGCACAGGCGTGTTGGCAATTGAGGCACGAGTAGAGGTGGCGCCCCATGCCTCTCGTCAGACACTTCTATCCACATGCTGAGCTTGCTAGAGGACAGTGATAGTATATGCTCGATGCATGAGAAAGACCCAGCTTCTCCCACCCAGCTCACCGACAAACTTCCTATCACCGCTCTCCCCCCCATCCCCCACTCTAGATCTAAGAAGCCATCGCCCTCTCAAACTCCCCCCCATCCAGCACATACCCCCACTGCCACAAACACTGCCTCAACACCCTCCCCACATCTTCATCCTCCACCATCTCCCTCCCGCCTGCCTGTAGCATTTTTTTGAGGAGGGCGCGTTTGAACCTCCCCGTGGGGCCGGCGACTTTAAGCCCTACTTTTCGTGTTTAGCCACTCCACCCACTCAAGTATCAAAGCAATAAGTTATGAGGAAGAGAAAGAGAAAAGGAAGGGGAAGAAAGAGGGCGGAGGAAGGAAGAGGACATACATCGATTAACCTGCCGCGCATCATCCCCACACCTCCTCCCCTCCCAAAACCTCACATACCACTCCGCCCAACCTCTCGGGTCCCCTGCCCAAATCCACCCGGCTTTTTCCCACTCTTGCAGACTCTGCCCTGCGGAGACTTTGAATCTGTTGACCGATGCTTGGGGAGTTGGGGAGGTGAGGAGGACGGGGTGGAGGGAGGGAGGGAGGGTGAATGGGAGGGAGGCTGTGTCTTCTGCAGAGGACAACTGCCTGTTGGTAACGCGCGAGTACACATCCCTGCCAATTCCCATTCCCATCAGCCCTCACACACCCTCAAGAAAGAGGGAATAGAACACACCTAAAGAACCCACCCCCAAAAGCCCCCCCAGCAAACATCTCCTCCGGCGTCAGATTCGGTGCAAAAACCCCCTTGAACCGACCTTCAAACTCCAGCCGCCCATCTTGCCCTCTCGTCGGTCTTGGGGCGCGTTCATACGCTTCGCCTTCACCTTCTGCGTAGTCGGGGCCGGGAGCGAGGGTGGGGGCAATAGCTTTGGGTAGGGGGTCGTACCGGGGGCCAGGGTAGGGTGTTCTTCGCGTTGACGTGCGCCTACCGCAAAAGTCAGCTCTTGACCTCCAAAGAGCCTCTAGAGCCAGATAGCACTCACCTATCCCGCCCCTCCCTTCCCTTCCCATCCTCCCTCGCCTCAACCCTCCTACTCTTCCTCGTTGGCTGTTCCCGCCGAACAGCCAGCTCCTTCATTTTCGACACTTTCCTCCTCTGCTTCTCTTCTTTCGAAAGCGTCAATCTCTTGACAGGCGTGCTGGTAGGTGGAGGAAGGCGGGGTTTGGATTCGAGGCCGAGGGATTGGAGGAGGGCATCTCTTTCTCTAGCATGGAATGTTAGTGGGGATAGGTTGGAGACTTGGAGTGGAGTGGAGAGGGAGAAGGACGTACCTGATATTCTCCAATCTCTCACGCTCATAATCCTCTCCACCCGCGAGCTCGTCCATATCGACATCACTCATCTCGGGGCTCGTTCCCATTATAATCAGTAGTTTGATGCGACAAAGTAGAATGGATATGTAGGGAGCAAAGAATGGCTGGACAGAAGTCAAAAGAAGTCATGATCCCGATGAGCATGACGTCGAGATACCGAGATCGCGGGTTGTTGTTGTGTTCTACCAACCGTCCATCGTCCATTGTGTGGTTCGGCTCCACTGCGGACGGGAGTCATGCTTGGGGGTCCATTCCGCTGTGCATACTCTCACACTCACTCATTGTAGGTTAGCTGTATCCATAGCCATCACCAGAAAGGGGATTTCTCGCGTGCCTGGCGGGTAGTGCCGCAGTCCGATCTGATAAGGGTTGTCATTGCGTCATGATCTACAAAAGTCACTTTCCATCACATCTCTTTCCTCTTCTTCTTCCATCCACCATGACCCGCCCAGACCACAAACACGACCCCGCCCTGTCAGTCCCCCTCCCCATCTTCCCGGCTGAAGCTGACCTCGTGCAGAAAGTCACTCCGGAGACACCTCTCCAGACGACCAGACTTGCTCTTCGGTACGCCATTCCGCCCCTGCCCTTCCACTGCTGACCCCGCGTAGCAATAGCAAAACGCCACTCCACCAACCCCCTCCTCCACCCCCCTCCCGCACCGCTCGACCCCTCCAAATCCCTCCCCGCCACCTCCCCCTCCGTCCGCATCACCATCCCCCAAGGCAGTCCCACCTACGACGCCCTCGGTATCACGCTCAAAACCAAACAGCGCGAAGTCCAGGTCGATATTCCTTTACGGCAGACTGCCAAGACGCCGAAGGAAGTCCGACAGAGCGTTGAGAAGATGGGGGAGGATGCGCTGGGGTATTATGGTATCGTATGTCCATACCATTGCTTGTTTGATTCTCGCTGAAACTGGGGGAAAGCCCGAGAATCCACAAGTAACATCCTACACCACCCCCCTCCACTCCTACATCCTCCCCCTCATCCCCATCCTCCTCAACATCTTCCTCTTCTACGCCCCCTCCTCCAACCACTACGCCAACATCGGCCGATCCCTCGTCCATCAATACATCGGCCCAAACGCCATACGGTACGGTATCCTCTTTTTCGGATCTTTCGTAAGCCCCCTTTTAACCCCCACGTCTACCTGGAAGAAGCTGATGGGGTGGAAAGCACTTTATAATCGAACCCTTACTTCTGTTCCGAGGAGTCTGGCGATACAGAGTCCCCCTCGTACCGAGCTTGCTCTACCTCTCGACTGTCGTCATCATCGGGTTCGGGGGTATCGACGCTCTCAGGCGAGCTGGTACGTTTCCTCCCTTTTTCTACAATGCTGTTTTTGAAGTGTGTGGAACTGATAAAGGTGTGGTTTTGTAGTGATCCAAGAACGTATCCGCCTCCTCCGTTCCGCCTCTCCCATCGACGCTAAAGACCGGCCCCTCCCCACCTCCACCCACGCGCATGTTGAAGAAAACGAATTCACCCTTCACAATATCGTACGTCCCCCCTCCCCACCCCCTCTCCTCTCGACCATCTCAAGCCTCAAGCCCAATTCTGACAACCTTCCCCAAGCCCTCGCACCCCAAAATCACACACTACAACCCCCCCTTCTTCCTCCCAACGCTCGTCCTCCTCCCCCTCTCCCTCCTCCTCTTCCTCCACTTCGCCCCCTCCTCCAACCCCTACGCCAATACCGGCCGAGCGTTGGTTGAGCGGTATCTCGGACCCAGGGTTGTAAAGTATAATGTCTTGTTTGCCGGGGCTTGTGTACGTCCACCCCTCCCCATCTTCCTCCTCCCCACCCCCCCCTCTCCTGCTCTCACATGTTTCGAGTATACAAAAAACTTAAAAGCTGACGCCCAAAAAAAGCACCTGATTATCGAACCCCTCCTCATCCTCTTAAAACTCATCAAACACCGCGTCCCCCTCTCCACCAGTTTGTTCTATATGATGACGGTGGTAGCTATCGGGTATGGCGGCATACAGGCTTTCGATCGGGCTGGTACGTTCCTTTCTTCCACACCACTATTGAGGAATGGGGGAGAGAGCTAATAATGGGGTTTTGGTAGTGTATGAAGAGAGGGTACGACTGCTTCGCGCTGTGCCCAAGAAGGACCAGTAAAAACACCCATCCCACATCCCACCACCAACACTATCGCGTCGCCCAACTTCCCCACAAATCGTACTTTTAGAGATTCAATAAAACCCACACGTCCGCGCGACCATATACACGACATCAGAATATATCAGCGCTATAACACCCATCAATCCCTGTCTAAATCATATGTTTCCTATACACACCTCGTAATGCAGATGTAATGATGATAAAGCCTGTTTTAAACTCTTTCTATACATCGTCATGAGTGAAACCATGCTTGGTTTTGGTTTGTTTTTTCCTGTATACAAATATTGCCTGCCTCCCTTCTCTCGCGCGCGGTATGTGTCTTGGAAGAAAAATGAATACGGAAATGGAGAAAAGTGTCCGATATTGCCCAAAGTCTATCTCCCTCGCCCCCTCGCTCACACTCTTCCTCTTCCTCGCCCCTCCCTTCGACCCCAGCACCCGGCGTCTACAAGTACAAAGTGTCCAAAAACGACTCTGCCAACAAGCCAACAACATGGGGCCCCGCACTCGTCTGCCCCAGACCATACAGCGCCACCATATCCCCGTCCTTCCCCTTGGGCGCAGTCTTGACCTGTTCGACGGTCTCTTGGAGCTGCTTGATGAGGGTGTCGACGCTCTTTGCAGTCAGACGCTGAAGGCCAGTCAGTCAATCTTCTCTTTCACAACTCGAAAGAAAGATAGAGTAAAGGACTCACAGTGAAAGCCATATGCAACCCGCCCTCCCCTCCCAGCGCACTCAAATGCCACCCCTTCTTACTCATCGCATCCCCAATAGCATAGATATTCAGCGCCTTACTGTTGAACGCGACGACAGAGCCGAGCGGGTCGCCGAGCACGTAGAGGTCGTCCCCGAGCGTGGTTTGGATGGCAGTCTTGAACTGACGCGCGGCGGTGATGATTTGGTGGCATGATTGGGTGTAGCCGCTACCCCATTGGGTCAGTTGAGAGATAAGGAAGGGTGGTGAGGGGGGACGTACTCGGATCCGACATAGTTCAAGACAGCCCAAGCACCGGCCAGGACGGAGCCGGGACGAGAACCAGCCATGGAAGGACTGGCATAGACACCACCAAGCCAGTCGGTGAAGACATAGTACTGGTACCTCCTCAGATCAGCAGATCGGTACATGATGACCGAAGTACCCTTGGGACAGAACGCGTACTTGTGCTACCACCCTCCGTCAGCTCTCACCCCCGACCGTTCAAAGAGAGACTCACCACATCACAACTGATAGCAGTCACACCCGGCACCCTGAAATCAAACAATGGCAGGTCCCCGCCAAAGCCCGCCTTCTCCATAAACGGCATGATGAATGAACCCAAGCAGCAATCGACGTGAAGACCGACATTCTTGCGGAGCGCGAGCTTGCCGAGTTCTTCGATGGGGTCGATGGCGCCGTCGGGAAAGTTGGGGGCAGAGCCGACAATCATGATAGTGTTGGGGTTGCTACACCTAGCATCAGCAACCTATTCGAGCGAGAAACAAAAGACTCACATGGCACGCCTGATAGCCTTGACGTTCGCTCGCCTGGTCTGGGGGTCGACAGGGATGACATGGAGCTTGATCTTAAAGTACTCGCTAGCTTTCCAGAATGCCGCATGCGCCGAGGCAGGGACGACCCTATATCGAAATTAGCTCGGCATGGAAGGAGAGATGAGGCGTACATTTCGGGACGAGTGATACCCTTGACGTCTCGGGCCCAGTCGCGGTGGGTCTTGACCGACATGAGGATGGACTCGGTACCGCCAGAAGTAGCTACGACCTTGTTAGCATGAGCTCGCATGTTGAGCGATGGAGACTTACTAGTACCAGCGCCGTCGGGACCGTTGAACCTGTCGCGGATCAGCCTCCGCCACAACTCCACCCTCGGTAACTTACAGGTTCAAGACCATGCTGACAATCTCACTCTCCATCTTTCGCAGACCGGGGAATACATCAGGGTGGAGAGGGTTGGTGACCACAAACTTGGCCATTGCTTGGTTGATAATCTCATTGAGATCGTCGCCACCCTACACGCGCGCGTCAGCCACCACTTTCCGATACACAAAAAGCGGCTCACGTGATACACAGCACCGCTCACACGACCCTCGTCCACATCACCCCGCTCCAGCTTCTTCATGTTGCTAAACTCGCTGTCCAGCCACTCCTTGCCCCTTCCTTGGTCAGGCAAAGTCCTCACAGGCGTAAGGTTGATGCCCTCGGGGTACTCGGTGGGCGCGAGCTTCTCCTTGAGCTCCAGTCGGGTACGTCCGAGCTCAGAGTTGAGCTTGGCCTTGTTCTTGGGGAGGGCGAGCATAATTTTGACGACGATCTGTCTGGGTGTCAGCACGGCAGGCTATGGAAGAGTGGGGACGTTACAGATTTCACGCTGTCGGCGACTTCGTTGGCAGAGCCAATCAGACCTCGCGCACGGACGTGTCGAAAACCATCGAGAAAGACGTAGCGGAGGACGTAGTAGGTGACGGCGGTACGGGCGAATTGGTCGAAGCGACGCTGGATGCTGTCGGTGGACCCGAGGATGGACGAGAAGGCGGGCATCGCGAGGGGTGGGTGTGGGGTGGAAGGGGGTGGCGGGTGTGTGCCCGTTATATATCCTAGATTGTGGAGATGCAGATGAGAAAACAAGATGCAAATTGGGAGCAATACGGGTGTGAGACGGGCGGGCATGGCGGCCTCGGAAGCTGGTGATAACACCGTCACGTGACCGTGCCTGGACGATAAACGGGCGTTAATTGCCCGCTGGCCGAACGCGGGAAATCTAGTGCTGCAATATATCCCAGGAGCAGCCCGAATTTGGCCAGGTGCGTACCCACCCAGCGCGTTGTTTATGTATCCCTGCGGCCAGCCCGCGCATGGGGGCGACGCAGTACGCAGGATGGAGGGCAAGCGAGGCGAAGGCCGCACCCGTGTCCATCGCCCATCGCCGATCTCTCTGCGCGGCTGATTTTCTCGTTGATTGATGTGCGTACATACCTTACAGTACTCGCACTCGTACAGCTCTGCTGTGGACTGTGGATTCCTCAGGTGAAGGAAGGGAAAACCCCGGCTGTACATTGAGTACGACTAGAAGGGCTGGGGTGGGAAGGGGTTGTCGCATCTGTCGTGCACTGGATACCTTCCTCGTTCTGGACCGAACTGTGTGAGATATGTCTGATCAAAATGCGACCATCGTCGTAGCCGTAGCTTGCAGAATGAGTACAACAGTATATCTTTTATGCCAATACCTCACCCCGCTCTACTCGTCAGGAATCAGCACAGAGTGCCATACGACGCACGATTCTTCTCAAAAGTCTTTCACTCAACACACGTACCCCGCCCTCACCCTCCAACCCCTCTCACCAACCTACCCAATCCCTTCTTTCCTTCCCAAAATATTTTCGATCAACATGTCCTTAGTAGACACCGATACACCCTTCACACTGAACGAACAAGGCGGCAATACCACCGACTCTTCATACCACCCATCTCCCGTTGCCGATGACAAAGACGAATCGGCGTCAGAACCCACGATAGTAGTTGAGGCAGCATGCGACGGCGTCTGATTTTCGGGAGGTGGGGAAGGGGATGGATCGCGTGCACAGAGAGGGAGCAAAACGATTCTTCCACGCCTTGGCCCTTTTCAAAGATCCCGCCAGTGGCATTTGTCGACTGCTCGAAGGATACGTTTGCTGGCTCGTCTGATTTCTTGCCTACAAGATGAATCATCGAGAGGTCTACAACGGAAAACAGCCAAGCAAGACCAACCGTTGATAAGGTCCACTGTTTTCCCAATATTGAACTCTTGCGCCGCCAAATGGAGCAAATTCGCTGCGAATGATCTGGTATGCTGGCTCGGACGCGTATACGGCGACCCTCCGTCAGACCAGTATCCTCCAAAACTGCATTCAACACTGACCCACAGCGGGAAAGTCTGCTCCTCACTATGAAATCTCTCGTCAGATCCTTGCGCACCGAGACTTCCGGAGCCCGACGACCGTCGAAGAGTATGGCTTTGACGTTCGGATCATAGCTCCCCTCGTGCACTCTGTTCATCAGCGAGTAGTATGGAGTACGGTTCCCGTTCAGAGAAGAGGCTCTGGGTATTCGACCTTGAAAAGTTGCCCGAATTTCACGTTGGCCCATTTCTCGAGTCGTTCGTCTAATGAAAGTTCTGTCGGTTGTCGTGATTCACGGAAATATTCGCAGAATCTCTGGAGCAGGCCCTCTTCGAGGACGGTCGTCACATGTAGAGGAGTTTGGGGGAGAGAAGTTTCGCGATCCATCGTATTGGGACCCTGGCTGGCGGGAGGATTCTGATCTGTCGCTGTGGGGAGGAGCTGGATGGGATGGACGATGCTTTGTTTGAGTTGGTACGGAGTAGAATGATCTTCGTTCATGGTGATGTGATGCGGATCTTCGAGCATTCGAGGGAGACGATGAGGATGCGAGATGGCAACGAATGTGGACAGTGGAACCAAACAGAAACCTTTTGGCGTTTCGGCGTTTGACGGTCCGAGCCTAGGGTGGCACTATCCTCCTTCACAGATGTTAAGACGCTGCTTGCTGTCCGTAGTCATCTACACATACCATGCATGTGCATATCGAAGACCAGTATTCATGCCTTGCATTCCTCATCGAATCCGCCAAAGAAAACATTCGGGGCAAAGGGCCGGGGGCCGGGAGCAGACGGCTAATTGGCCCTCTACCGAACGCGGGAAATCTAGTACTGCATTTATAACTTTCAAGTATGCCAGAATTACCAGGTGCGTACCCAGCCAGCCTCTCCATCACCGTCCGCGGCCTGCGCTGACACGGGGGCGACAGAGGTGGAGCGAGCCCGCAAGCTCATACAGGAAACTTGCGTGGGATATACCATCGCGGAGGTGGATTCGGTGGAGGACAAGATCGTCTATACAGCGGGCACCGATCATGAAGAGTTTGTGAGTCACCCTCTAGATATTCATCGGTATCTCGCTGATACATGGGCAGGCGAACGAAATCAAAGGCCGCACGATCACTGGCTGTGAGCGCAAGGGCAAGACGTGAGTCCTCCGCCCATCGCTGATCTCTTTGTGTCGCCGAGATGGGCCGATGCTGACCTTGCGTGTATAGCTTCTGGATGACCTTGTCAGGCGATGGGCGATACCCTGTGATGCATTTTGGTATGACTGGAATGATACAGCTGAAAGGCCAAGAGCCGACATGGTACAGACGGAGACCCAAGGAGAGTGCCGATGTCTGGCCGCCAAAGGTGAGTTTCCTCTCTTACTGCTGATCCAGCTCACATATAGTGCAGTTCTACAAGTTGTCAGTATCCCATCCTGTCTCAGAATCATCATTCAGCTCACGATCTCAACTTAATCAGCGTCTTGAAGCTGCAGCCCCAGGAAGGATCAGTCGCCTCGGAAGCCCGTGAGCTGGCCTTCATCGACGGTAAGTTCCCCTTTCCCTCAAGTCATTCACTCTTACTGATCTAATTCAGCCCGGCGCCTGGGCCGTCTTCGCCTCGTCCCATCTCCAGTCACCGCTCACCCCCCAGTCTCTCTTCTCGGTTTCGACCCCATCCTCTCACACCCATCTTTCGAAGATTTCCAAGAAATCTTGAAAAAGAAGAAGGGAACGATCAAGGGTGTCATCATGGATCAAGCTTTCAGTGCTGGTGTTGGGAATGTACGTCCCCATCTTAACGGCGTTTTTGGAGCATGCGAAGCTGACCTGTGCATCGTAGTGGGTCGCGGACGAGTCAGTCACCTCATCATACAGTACAACACGAGCTGACCATCCACCAGAGTTTTATTCCAATCCCGGATTCACCCCTCCACCCCCGTTCCCCTCCTCACTCCTGACCAGATTCTCGCTCTCCACGACCAACTACACGAAGTCTGCCAAACCGCCGTCGACGTCAATGCCGATTCAAAATCCTTCCCAGAAGGATGGCTGTTCCGATGGAGATGGGGCAAGGGCGCTGCCAAGAATAAGAAGGGCAAGAAGGCGAAGGAGCAGGATGAGGAAGGTGAAGAGGACGTGGAGCCCGCTGGTAAAAGCTTCCTGGCACTTGTACGTATTTCTTAAAATATGTGTGAGTGATGAAGCTGACCCGTGCTGTTTAGCCTGACGGTACCCCAGCAACAATAAAGTTTATCGAAGTCGGTGGCCGTACCACAGCCCTGGTTGAGGAAGTGCAGAAGATGCCGGAAGGGGTCGAGATCAAACCGAAAATCACAAAAGGGTCGAAAAAGAAGGTCAAGGAAGAAGAGGAGGAGGAGGTGAGAGTCTCTCGCGATTGTTGGATACGAGGCTAATGGTCTAACCGTAGGATGCTGACTCTGAAGGTGACGACGTGGAAAAGCCAGAAAAACCAGCGAGAAGTACGACAAAGAGACAAAGAGCGGTAGTAGCAAAGAAGCAGAAAGCCCCAGACGTGGATGTGACGGAAGAAGAAGAGGAGGAGGAGAAGCCGGCACCGAAAGTGAGTGTCCTGTTCACAAATCATCACTCCAGCCAATGTGTCCTACAGTCTAGGAAGACTTCGAAGAAGGATGTCAAGCCCCCGGAAGCAACGACCAAGAAACCATCAACGAGACCCTCAAGAGCCTCGGTGCGCAAACGACCTTTGCCAAAGTCTCCAGAATCATCTGAGCTATCCGACTTGGCTGACTGAAAGGCTCAAAGTATGTAGCGGTCTCATGTATGAGCTTGTATCCCCCGGTTTTCGACCACAACATCTTCAGTGCGCTACATTCTTTCTATACTGACTAGCAGACTATGAATCAATACATGATACCTAGATTGCTGTAGAGGTCAAACCAATACAGAACAAAAAAGATGGCCACTGGCGGCGGGTATGAGTATAGCTACAAGACGCACAACACCGCAACATAGGGGTAGATCGTCGATAAGGTCCACAAACCGAATTCTGGCCTTACACAGATTCAAGATGCTCAACCCTGCTCTTCTCCTCATCCCCTCCAATCTTGCGCCTCGCCTCCTTTTTCTCATCTTTCTGACCATCGACGTCCCTCCCCAAGATCTCCTCCGCCTCACTAGACCCAGCTTTAGGTACAGACTCGGGCCGAAGCGAGACTTTGACCGGATCGAGTCCTTCCACATAAGCTTTGGCGAAAATGATGTCGAGGTCCTCGAGCGAGTACCTTTTGGTCTCTATGTCCGTGATCAGCTTCATCCCGTTCGTTCTCGGATATTTCGACATGGACGTACCAGGGAAGAAGAAGTATATACCAGGGAAAATGATGATTCCATTCATCGCCGCAAAGAACGCGTACGTGCCCCACCCAATGTTGGCAAACATCGGCCCAGTGGACATGACCACCATGAAGTTGAACAACCAATTGGATGCCGTCGACAGCGCGTTGGCCGGAGCGCGAATACGGAGAGGCGTGACTTCGGCAGGGTAGAGCCAAGTGATACCGAGGAACCCGATAGAAAACCAGGTATTGAAGAGGAAGAGCATGAGGACAGAGACGACTTGGGCGGCCTTGTTTTCTGCTTGGGACTGGTCATAGAGACCGGCGAGAACGGCCATGGTGATGCACTGGGCGAGGGCCATCCAGAGCATGAGAGAGCGGCGGCCCGCGCGTTCGATGATTGCAATAGCGACCAAGCTACGAGCAGAGTCGTTGTGATCAGGAGACGCGGCGGGGAGGAGGATATGACCAAACATACGAAGTAAGGAAAAAGCAAGTCCCATTGACGCCCGAGATGACTCGAGACATCTCATCCCCGAGGCCAAGGCCGGTGAGCACCGAAGTAAGATAGTAGATGATCAAGCTAGCGCGATATCAGTCTCGAAGCGTACGATTGCAAATACCAAAGACTCACTTGCACCCGCAGATCTGCTGATAACACTGAGCGACAACGCCCAACATCGTCCTTCTAAAGTTTTGTGTCTTGCCTCCGGTGAAGATCTCCCTGAAGCTAAACTCGCCAGCTTGTTCAGTAGCGATGGCGTCGGTGATACCGTGGAAGATGGTGATGACGGAGGGATCGTCGACAGTGGTATTGTCGAGAGCGGCAAGGACGGCAAGTGCTTCAGGGAACTTGCCTTTAGCGGCCAGCCAACGAGGTGACTCGGGGAGGCGGAATGCGTACTGAATGGCTGTCAGAAAAAGAATGAAAGAGAGATGTGGCTTGATGTACCATGAAAGCGCACATGACGATGATGAAAACCAACTGTAAAGCAATAGGAAAGCGCCACGAGATACTCCCAGTGGTATAGAAGAATCCAAGATCGACCCTGCGCTCCATAAGCGTCCATCCCTAGCAGCAAGCCGAATACTTACCAGTACGATACCATAATACCGAAAGTGATCAATGATCCCTCTGCAAGCACAAGCTGTCCTCGGCGATGAGCTTTGGAGCACTCGGATTGATAAGCCGGAACGGTCGAAGTGAGAAGACCGTTGCCGAGACCGGTGATGACACGAGCAACGAGCATCATGGCGTAGTTGACGGCAGCAGCTTGGAGGATAGAACCGATGAACATGATAAAGCCGCCCCTGCGCTCTTGTTAGCTCTCTCACTCAAGGACCTGAAAAGTAGAGACTCACAAGGCGATGGTATGGCGTCTCCCGAGCTTGTCGCCGATCCAAATGTTGGAAAGTGCTCCGGCCATACAGCCGAGTTCATCTATCGATACGCCCAAGTTAGCGCATGGTGTGGGTGGGATGTTGTGTCACAAGGTGATGACTCACAGATGGCAACCATAAAAGACTGGAGGGTAGCAGTGCTGGACCCAGCAAAACCACCAGCAGTCTGTGGGAACTGCGCCTCGAAAGACGGAAGAGTCAGGAGCCCCGACATGACACCCTGGTCGTAGCCTGCACTCTGTCAGCATATCTACAGTAGCATTGATAGACGTGTCACTACTTACCAAAGAGTGTGAAGCCTGTTCCAGCGACGAAGGTGACCATCCAAGTCAACCACTTGCCCTTGATTTTGGACGGCGCCACATCATCTCTCGCTCTCTGAAAGTCGTCTTCCGACAAACGATAGCCATTGCCTTCTTGGATCTTGTTGTGGCCGACGTTCTCTCCGATGAAGTTGACGCCGGGGTTCGGGGCGGCTGTGGTGAGTGGCATGGTGAGGTGTGGGGCAAAGACTGATACAAGGGACAGAGATGTGGGGCAACATTAGGGGGGCCTCTTATAGACGACCCGCCTCCCTCTCTACTTCGCCCAGCGCCCCTGCCCAGCCGCCCTGCCCAGCTCCCCTATTCTGATCGCTTCGGCGTCTAATCACTGTGCCCCCAGCCTATCCCGCCGGCATGGCAAAAGAGCGCCCATGCACCATGTGCGGCATGTTTGATTTGTATTCTGCCAAGGAGTGCCCAGTCCAACGCCTAGAGGAGCCGAGAGATACGCTCCGGGACATTACCGGAGTCACGTGAACTGATATAGACCTGTTGTTTGGTTCGCATCTTCGGGGCTTTTATGCGCGTCTTGTGATCCAAACTAGGCGTATCTATGACGTCGTCAGGGCGAGGATATATATCTATACACGATACATGACATCTAGAATGTAGATAGAGATTCGACTGATACGAGACAAACAGTCTACCGATTAGGGCATGACAAGACTATAGCTACAAGATAGGTTACACAACAAGAAACCGCATCACAACCCGAAGATACGGCGACGAGGACCCTGCCGACACCACTGCTGCTCAAGATAAGCCTGTCGGCCTGTAAAGAGTGTGCGAGCGGGGTCCGTCCCGCCTACAGAAAAGAAGATGGACGACGATGCGAAGGAAGACTGGGAGCGTCGTCGTCGTCCATGTCCATTCTGGATTACTTGAGGGGTAAGTAGGAGGAGAACAAGGTGGGAGAATACCTGTTCTGTGGCGGGCAGAGACTTATCGAGCGCGCCCAAGAAAGCGAGGCAAGAGGTGCAAAGCACGTGTTTAATGCTGGCGCCGTGGTCCTTCCTTCTGAGGCTCTTTTACTCAGATTGAGTGAGTTTCATGCAATGCATCGAGATCTTGGGCTATACTACTCTAGGCCAACGAATGCCAGTATTTATCTGCATGTATGCTCATTTGAAGACTCGATGTAGTCTACATCCATAGCCTGCGCGAGATAGACTTCAAAGAAATGATGTTGAGTGGAGCCATTCCTCCCACAATCTCGATACTGAGCAATTGTACACGGGGACCTTGGATCTCAATGAGGCTGGTACGATACATTGCGTTGAAGGATACGGTTAATCTAAGGATACGACAATAATGAGAGCGTGGCAATGACGAAACTAGAACAACACTACAGTGATATCAAAATGGGATACCAGGATGGGTCGTAACAGAACACTGTAGAAAGACAAACAGATCACGCATGCACCCCCGAATCATGCGGCAGCTTCTTCTCCTCCAACCTCGACTGCTGCCTCTCAATCCTCTCCCCAGCCAACGACATTGCAAACTTGCTCCTCTCCCTGAACCAAGCACCATGGAAATAAAACACAAAGATCGGGATCGTCACGATCGCCGCGATGATGGCGAGGATGGTGGAGGGCCATTCGAGGTGGTAGCGGTAGGATTCGCCGCCGAGGTTGGTGTAGAAGGGGGTGCTGTAGAGGGCGGCGATACCGGCGAGGAAATCTCGAGCGAGACCGTTGCCGCCGGTGGCGGAGGCTGCGTAGGGGCCGTAGGCTGCTACCATGCTAGAGACGAGGGTCAGTGACACATAAAGATAGAAAGATAGAAGGGAAGGGGGGACGTACTAGTCGATAGTAGACATGTAGATGGCGTAGTTGGCAATACCGACCATCGCAGAAAAGATCATGGGCGCGATCCAATGGACGTGGGGCGGGCCCAGTGAGGTCCAGGCAAAACCAAACAGACCGATAGACTCGAGCGGAGCCACTACAAACAAGGTTAACCAGGTCCAGAGAAGAAGTGGGAAGATAACGCACGGTAGAGAAGAGGCTTGAGTCGGAATTCGGGAGCTGCGTTGGGGTCTTCTGCGAGGATACGTCGTTGGGACATGAGAAAAGGAATGTAGATGAGGTATGCCAAGAAGTAACTGATGGCGATTCTAAAGACTCTGTCAGTACTCGTCAATCCCCCAGAGGTGAACAAACTCACGGGACAAAAGTCAAAGCCATCTTCTCTCCCGTAATCCCCCACTGCTTATAAACAGGCGTGAAAGCCTCCATAAAAGTGAAGATCAACGCATCACTAAACCCAGACAACAAACTCAAACAAAGCACAATCGGTTCCCGGATAAACATCTCAAAAGGCCTGCAAAACGTCTTAAACATCTCGCGAGGAGAGAACTTTTCCTTGAACGTCTTGATCTCGGAAGGACCGTAGACCTTGGAATCGCCCGCTTTGCGGCGGCGTTGGGCTTCGCGGTCGAGGAGGATGGTGGCTCGGGATTCGGGGACGAGGAACAAGTGGAGGACTTGGACGAAACCGCCGAAGATGAGTTGGGTCCAGCAAATCCAGCCCCTGTGACTCGTGTCAGATGCCTGCTAGACGTATGAGGAGAGAAACGTGCCAACTGAGGTACTCGGCGATGAAAGGCCCGGCGAGCGGACCGATGATACTACCACCGACAGAGGACAAGACGATATAGGAGACGGCCCATTGTTGGTCATTACAATCGTAAAGATCGGCAACTGAGATAACGTTAGGACTGCGTCTCCACGAAGCGGAAAAGGAGGTTGCACATACCCATTCCCAAAGTGACGGAACCACCGGCCGAAGAGAGACCTCCAAGAGCTCTGGCTACGAGCACAGAACCAAAGTTGGGCGCAAGAGCAGCCAGGATAGACCAGACTGTTGTACCGTAAGCTTTTGCAGTCGCTGGCAAAGCGAGATGATGACTGACTGTTTACCAAGAAAAGGGATGCTTGCAGGACGGGGCGTCGGCCGAGTTCTTCGGACCAGGGAGCCCATGCCTGTGAATCATGTAAGCTTGAGCGACCAACTAGTACAAAAGTCACTCACTTCACAACCAAAAGCGTAGAAGACCAAGAAGAGCATCTGACCAAGTCGCGCCCTTTGCTCCGTGATATCAAACTTTTCCGTCAAGAACGTGACACCACTGGCGTAGACGGCGGCGTTATAGTTCATCGAACATTGTACGACAAAGATGACCGTCAGGACAGTCCACTAGACGTTTGTCAGCACATGTAATCCAGTCAACCCACCTTTGATGACTTACCTTCTTTCTCGTACTCCACGCAAAACCGAGAACCTCGGGCGCTTCCTCCTCCTGCAAGATATGCCTCCCGTCCCCCGTATCGCCCCTCTTCAACTTTGGTCTCACATTCTCCACTTGCGCGATCTGCCCATTGTCTTTGGGCTTCTCGGCGTAGATGGCCTTGGCCATGTGGGCGGGGTCATTGCGGACTTTGGCGTGATTGGCGCGGGGGTTGAAGGGCTGGTTGTAGTCGAGGGAATCGATGGACGAGCGGTCGCTCTCCCCGGGAGCCAAAGCTACTTCTGATGGCTTTGACATGTGAAGCAAGAGTAGTGTGTAGTGTGGTTGGTTGTAGAGAAAGAGAAAGGTTGATGTGAATATAAGTGGGCGAGAGTGGGTTTACGTGCTTCTTAATAAGATAAGTCCTGGTATCCTGAAAGTTCAGTTCTGTCTCATCGCGAACGATGGACGGAATTCGGGACGAGAAGGAGTGTCGACACGTCCCTGAATTGACAACCTCAAGAGGCGGCAACGGAGGTGATCCCGAATCAGTTCCGCGGCAACAGCAGGTCAGCAGCTGATGCATGGGCAATCCGCCATGAGTCCAAGATCAATGTGGCATGTGGCACTTCTTCTTCAACTTGTGTACCTTCATTTACCTGTTAATGTCTCATTCACGAGGAGCTCCTAAAAGGCTCAACATTCGGCAGTCAGGCTCGGCATGCTCTTGTCTTGCCCATCAGGGACTATGCAAAGGGCGGCCCCTTGCGAAGCAAAGGGGGGCCGCGAGGGGCAACCAAGCTAGTCTGTTGAAACGGCTCTAAATCTGGAAGATCTGGAGAACTGTGGGGATTGACTATCTAAGCGAACGAGTAAACGAGGGCCCCCCATGTTCCCCCGCCTGGGCACTTGCGTTTTGGCTGACACAATGAGGCCTGGGTCCCGCTGCCGAGAGTATTGCACTGTCAGTTGACCATAAATGATCATAAACAAAAACGAACCACGGATCAAGCCTCGATATATCAATTAGATCAGCGCACTGCTACGCGACTCACGTCTGCTCGAGGTTCTTGGCTCGTCCCTTTTTGGACGAAAAGAGTTTAGCATTTCTGCCTACAGTGATGCGCTACTACATGTCCCTCCTCTCAATCCCTCGTTCGCTCAGCACAGTCGAGAGGATTCGAGACTATCGCCAAAACTGATGATAGTCAGGGTTTTGCAGTGTGCGATAACTGAAAAGACCAAGAGACAACTCGAGTATGTGCACTCGTTGCACTTTTGAGTTTTTGACAGCGTGCGCCAACCTATCTGCGTATGTAGTAGTCGAGTGGATCCAAAGGTTGATTATCCGGATCCTGCAGCGTCCCACCATCCTCCAGAAAGTCCTTGACGTTCGGGACTAAAATCGGTAAGTGAATGGCCACGCGTCTCTAGCGTTATAGACGTGGTACATGATCTCGGAGAGCTGGCTCTGAAATGCTGTCGATGGATCACCCCTTCGGGGCAGTGAGGGTTTGTCTTGCAGTTCTTCGCACACTCGAACGACGGCTTCCATGTATGTAATCCTTCATCGCTTCCTGCGTAGCGACTGGAACCGGTGCCGGCACCACTCGACCTTTACCGTCACGACGAAAGCTCAGAATAGAAGATCGGGCTTCGATAACGGGATGGTCTACGTTTCATTGCAGATCACGATGACCGCCTGTGGTGGTAGAGCTTAGAGTAGGAAGGCAGCCCTTGAGTAGGATAGTCGTAGCGAGGAGCTCTGAGGTGGTTTCATTATCGTGAGAGCTAGACATTGTCGTCGGTGATGGTGACACAGCGAGCAAAAGATGGAGAGGCGTTGCGTTGTTGGCGTGATCTGCTGGTCGTTTTCGTGGGTGAGATTACATGCACGGCTTCATTCTCTATCTTCTTGTCTCTACTTGTCTTCTTCTACAGTCTACGCCTGGCAAGCTAAGAACAAATACCCCGTCGTTGACTACGCATAACGTATCAAAAGACAGTATACCCTTCAACCCATCATCAGCCCCAGCCCCCACCACAGTGAATACATAAAAGACGTACCTCCATCAACAACAACATCACTCCCCACCATAAACCCGCCCCCACCCATCTTCTCTGACAACAAAACCGCGATGAATTCACCGATCTCGGCGGGGGAGGCGAAGCGGCCGACGGGGGTACGTTTCTCCCATTCGGAGACCCAGGAGGCGGCGGTGGCGTCGGGGGGAGAGGCGATCATGTCTGTTGATACGTAGCCCTAGGTAGTAGGTCAGCGTGGAGAGAGTTGCGAGGGGGAGAGAAGGGTAGGGGGAGGGGAAGGGACTTACGGGGGAGACGGAGTTGACGGAAATTCCTAGATGGGACCATTCGCCCGCCAGAGACTTTATCCGAGCTCATTAACCATCCATCCCTTTTTCCATACCCTAACAACGATAGAGAGAGACAGAGAGAGTGATAGCGACACACCTTGGCCATCATGGTCACCGCCCCCTTACTAGCGTTATACGCCGTCTGTCTCTGCGGGTTCATAGCGACCAAAGCGGAGATGCTGGATATGAACAAAATCTGTTTCTTGAGGGTGAGGCCTTTGATGTTGGGGATGTCGAAGTCCTCTTTGCTGGGAGAAGAAGAGGAGGAGGAGGATACGGGGATGGGGAGGTGGAGCCACGAGCGGACGAGGGCGCGGGAGAGGTAGTAGGGGTGGTAGGTGTTGACGGCGAATATGCTTTGGATGTCGGCTGTGATCTTCTGTCAGATAGGTGCGGGAGAGGTGAGGGAAAACTTGCCGTCAGTGTTCTCATGAGCGTCTTTCCATAAAGACACGCCTGGACAGTCATCAGCTCATACACCATCGAAAAAGAAGGATGACTCACCGGCATTAGCCACTCCGATGTCCACCTCCTTCCCAAACACCTTCCCCACCTCCTCCACAACACGATCCACCTCCTCGCACTTTGTCACCTCACATTTGAAAGCCTTCACTGTGACACCATACTCCTTGCTCAGCTTGTCGGCGACGGGAGAAGCGTCGGTAGATGTGTATGTGATGGCGAGGTCCGCGCCGGCCTGAGCAAGGGCGGTGGAGATGGCGAGGCCGATACCGCGTCCGCCGCCTGTGATGAGGACGAGTTTGTTGCTAAAGTCGATTGTGAAGGGCATCGTGTATGGGGAGGAAGGGAGGGAGAGGGTGAATTACGGGGGATATAAGCGGATAGATAAGGGAACGTCTAGTCCCGTGGTTAGCATCAATTTACACGGGATGAGACAAAGACAGCTCGAGAAACGAGGCAGATTGGCAAATTACGGACCGAGCCGCGCCGAGGAGATAGGGAAAAACCCCCATCTATTGCCGGGTAGCCCACTTTTTGCATGCATTTATATGAGAGCGGGAGCAAATGATCAGCACAATCTGGACGATCTGGACTGATAATCGGCTCGGCTCCCAAAACGCGGCCTGTCGCCGCCGCTCGGGCCGAGCCGAGGCAGAGCAGCGGCATGACGTCGTCCGGGAAATCGTCCACCAAGCAGAAGGCCTATAAAATCCCTTCACGTATCCTTCCCTGTATCTCCACCCATCCCACCATGACCATCGCTGTCACCTCCATCCCCGCCAGCAAATACGAAACCCACTACGACCCCAAGAAGGTCCTTACCCATCCAGACTTCAAGATCCTCGAAGAAGGGGCGCCGGAATTGGACAGCAAAGAGGAGAATATAGCGTGTACTTATAATCCACAGCATGAGGTGAAGATGGTGAGGAAGGGCAAGGTGGAGCCGGGGAAGGGGGAGGTGACGGTGCATGTGAAGGCGACGGGGATCTGTGGGTAAGTCCAGACATGATCCGCTGGGCAGAGGGTGGGATGGGGGACCTGCGAGCGTAGCGAGCAGTATACAGTATTCTTCGAGCGTAGCGAGTACTCTATGGTGGTGGTGGGGGTGGCGGTGGGGCCAGTTTACTTGCAGAGACGAGCAACAGTACTAACACATACCCAGATCCGACGTCCACTTCTGGCGACACGGCGCCATCGGCCCCACCATGATCGTCTCTGACACTTGCGGCGCCGGCCACGAGTCTGCCGGTATCATCACCAAGATCGGCCCCGGCGTCACCCAATGGTCTGTCGGCGATCGTGTTGCCATCGAAGCTGGTGTCCCCTGTGGCTTGGCTGATTGTGGACCTTGCTTGACTGGGCGGTACAACGCTTGTAAATTCTCTTCTTCTACAGGCTACGGAATTGAAAGGCTAATCAAGTTCCAGGTCCCTCGGTGGTATTCTTCTCTACCCCACCATACCACGGCACCCTCACCCGATTCCACAACCACCCCGCCGCATGGCTCCACTCCCTGCCCGACAACCTCTCATACGAAGAAGGCTCTCTCTGCGAGCCCCTCGCCGTTGCCCTCGCAGGACTTGAGCGGGCTGGCGTCCGTCTCGGCGACCCCATCGTCATCTGGTTCGTCTTCCTTGCGTTTCCTTATTTCTTGTATACTGACTTTCGTGAAGCGGTGCAGGCCCCATAGGTCTCGTAACCCTCCTCTCCGCCCACGCGGCAGGCTGCGCCCCAATCCTCATAACCGACCTCGTCCCCTCCCGCCTCGCTTTCGCCCAATCGCTCGTTCCTTCCGTCATTCCCGTCTTGATCGACAGGCAAGACACGCCTGAACAAGTTGCGAGCAACATTAAGGAGAAGGCCGGTGTGGAGCTTGGGCTGGCGGTGGATTGTACCGGGTTCGAGAGTAGTATCAGGGCGGGGATTTATGTGAGTTTCCTTCGTGTTTTAGGGTTGGGGAGAGAGCTGATGGAGATGATAGAGTGTCAAGTTTGGTGGAAAAGTCTTCGTAATCGGCGTCGGTCCTTCCGAACAAAGCGTAAGCCCCCTCCCTCCCCTCCCGTTCCCTTGCTCCCCGCTCACGTTGTTATACTAGTACCCATTCGGCTACTGCGCCGCCAACGAAATCGACCTCCAATTCCAATACCGCTACGCCAACCAATACCCCAAAGCCATCCGCCTCGTCTCTTCCGGCCTGATTAACCTTAAGCCGTTGGTGACACACAGGTTCCAGCTGAATGATGCTTGCAAGGCGTTTGGGGTGGCGGGGGATCCGAAGGCGGGGGCTGTTAAGGTGCAGGTGCATGATTAGGGGAGCTTGGGAGACTTTGGGGAAGGGAGGGGGAGTGTAGATACGTAAGGGATGTTTGGTCCGACGTTTTGTGGTTGTAGATAGGGTAGAATCGTAGATAAATCTATAGAATGTGATTAGGAATAGGGAGATGTATGAACAACGTGTGACTATGACAAGCAGGAACTTGTGCATTCTCGCTACCACACTTTTGACACATCTTGGACCATCTGCAAGTAACATGGCGCACTCCTACTTCAAAAAGACATTTTAAGACTCCCATGTGCCCCATACCTCCTCTTCAGACGCACCATCATTGCCGGCCGCACTCTCCTCCTTCGAGCTCTCCCCGCATCATCGCAAGGCCTTCATCGATGGAATTCTTAAACGTTAACAAACCTCTTGGAGTAGTACAAGTACTCCCGTCCTTTAGGCCGCTGACTGGATCAAACAGGCCCGCAAGGGATCAGTGACATACGTAGGGAAAGCTATTTTGATAGTTTCCGCCGATGATACAGCACTGAGCGCATCTATCTATCTATTCAGTCTAAGTCGGCACGAACTGATTTTCGACCCAGCCTTATTTTCAATTCCATCGTCCTTCATCTATCATCAATCACTTGACCTCATCCAAAACTGCCTCACAATCCTTGCTTGCAAGCATCCTCACCGAACGGTGCCTTCAATTCTGCATCATCCTCCCCGTTCGTTTTCCCACAAACCGTTTACCTTAGATTTCATCTTTCTCACTTTACTGCTCACCGTTATATTCCATTTTTCGTCGACGCATCTGATCCGCTGACTGCACCATTCGAGAGCTGCCACTCATCTCCACCTAACGGTACTTTCACTTCCACATACGACACATTATAGCTCTCTGTACCGTCCGTTTACCTCGAACCGCTGTTTTCGCTCCTCCAACGCTCCTCACGCGTCCCCAAAACCTTTGATTCCATCGTTCTTTCCTTTTCGTCGATCACTTCTGTTCATTCTGGGCTGCATTCGAACGTTTGCAATGATACCCACCTGTCTGTACCTATAACTCCCCATGCATCATCCTCGCTCCGTTTCCCGCAGACCGGTTACCTTCAAGCGCCTCTTGCTGGCGCCTGATCCTATCCCGCCGGCATGGCAAGAGAGCGCCCATGCACCATGTGCGGCATGTTTGATGTGTATTCTGTCAAGGAGTGCCCAGTCCAACGCCTCCTAGAGGAGCCGAGAGATACGCTTTGGATACGCTGCGGATTGGCTCCGGGCATTGCCGGAGTCACATGAACTGATATCCTGTTGTTTGGTTCGCCTCTTCGGGGCTTTTATGCGCGTCTTGTGATCCAAGCTTGGCGTATCTATGACGTCGTCAAAGCGAGGATATATCGTCACTGTATATCTATACACGATACATGACATCTAGAATGTAGATAGTGATTGACTAATACGTGACAAACAGTATACCGATTAGGTATGGCAAGACTATAGCTACAAGATAGGCTACACAAAAAGAAACCGCATCACAGCCCGAAGAGCTGGTCTTACACAAACTCGTGATGCTCAATTCTACCCTTCTCTCCCTTCTCCTCCCCATCAAACCTCTGCCTCGCCCCATTCCCACTTTCCTTCTGACTGTCCTCATTCCGCCCCAAGATCTCCTCGGCCTCACGAGACCCAGCCTTGGGCACAGATGCGGGATGGAGCGAGACTTTGACGGGGTCGAGTCCTTCGACGTAGGCTTTGGCGAAGATGATGTCGAGATCTTCGAGAGAGTATCGCTTGGTCTCTGTGGATGAGGTCAGCTTGGTGACAAGGAGAGGGAGGGGTGGGAACGAACCAGGGAAGAAGAAGTACAATCCAGGGAACATGATGATCCCGTTCATCGCCGCAAAGAACGCATACGTCCCCCATCCGATATTCGCAAACATCGGTCCCGTCGCCATCACCACCATAAAGTTGAAGATCCAGTTACTCGCCGTACTCAACGCATTCGCAGGCGCCCTGATCCTCAAAGGCGTCACTTCGGCTGGATAGAGCCAGGTGATACCGAGGAAACCGATGGAGAACCAAGTGTTGAAGAGGAAAAGCATGAGGACGGAGACGACTTGGGCGGCTTTGTTTTGGTCTTGGGCTTTGTTGTAGAGACCGGCGAGGACGGCCATGGTGGCGCACTGGGCGAGAGCCATCCAAAGCATGAGTGAGCGACGGCCGGCGCGTTCAATGATGGCGATGGCGATGAGACTATAGTCACGTCAGCGGGGAGGAGAGTTGGGAGAGGAGAAGAGGACGTACGATGTGAGGAAGTAGCATGTACCGTTGACACCAGAAATGACTCGAGACATCTCATCAGACAGCCCAAGACCGGAAAGGACAGAAGTGAGATAATAGGTAATCAAGCTATCCCCCAATCAGCACCGATCAGAAGAGAAAGACAATCAACTCACTTGATACCACAGATCTGCTGATAACACTGAGCCACAACACCCAACATCGTCCTCCTAAAGTTCTGCGTCTTTCCTCCCTTGAAGATCTCCTTGAAGCTGAACTCTCCCACATGCTCGGCCGCGATAGCGTCGGTGATACCGTGGAAGATGGTGACCACAGCGGGGTCGGTGACGGAGGTGTTGTCGAGGGCAGCGAGGACGGCGAGGGCTTCGGGGTATTTGCCTTTGGCGGCGAGCCATCGGGGTGATTCGGGAAGACGGAATGCGTACTGAGAGGCTATCAGGATAGGGAAGGGTAAAACGAGAGGGAAGACATACCAAACAAGAGATCATGATAATGATGAAGACCAGCTGGAAAGCAATAGGGAACCTCCACGAGATACTCCCAGTCGTGTAGAAGAAACCCAAATCGACCCTACAGCCCTGTCAGACATCTGCAGACGCACAAGCACGAAGTTGAACTCACCAGTAAGAGACCATAACGCCAAATGTGATCAGACTGCCTTCCGCGAGCACCAACTGCCCTCGACGATGAGCCTTGGAGCATTCGGATTGATAGGCAGGGACGGTAGAAGTGAGGAGACCGTTTCCGATACCGGTAATGACACGGGCGACGAGCATCATCGCATAGTCGATGGCAGCGGTCTGGAGGATAGAGCCGATGAGCATAATGAAACCACCCCTGAGAACCTATCAGCATTATGCCCCAGAGACAAGCAGGAAGGCCACTCACAAAGCGATAGTATGCCGTCTACCAAGCCTGTCGCCGACCCAGATATTCGAAAGTGCTCCCGCCATACATCCAATCTCATCTACGCCCCGAGTGAGCGCTTGGTCGCGATGTAGTATAAGAGAAGTTACTGACAGATAGCAACGAGGAGGGATTGGAGAGTGGCAGTTGTGGAGCCGGCGAAACCACCAGCTGTCTCTGGAAACTGCTGTTCGAACGAGTCAAGCGTAAGGAGACCCGACATGACACCTTGGTCATACCCTGCGCTCTCATCAGTATCACAATCAGTCCGTGATGAATAGAGTCTTACCAAACAGTGTAAATCCTGTTCCCGCGACAAACGTGACCATCCAAGTCAGCCACTTGCCCTTGATCCTCGACGGAGCCACATCTCTCGCTCTCTGATAGTCATCTTCCGCCAGGCGATAACCATTGCCTTCATGGATCTTGCTATCACCGAGACTTTCGCCGATAAAGTTGGCGCCTGGGTTGGGGGCCGCTGTTGTGAGTGGCATGGCGGAATGTGGTAATGTGTTTCGAGAAGTAAGGCTGGAAGAGTAATTGTCAGGACAAGCGGAATACCAGGCTGCTGTTTATATACCTCTCACCCCACCTCGCTCGTACCGGCTAACACGCTCCATCCTCTCCCGAGCCCCGCCCGAGCCCGAATAGATGTCAACAGGGTTATGCGTCAACATCCTTAATCTGACCACTGGAATTGGATGTCGCAGGCCGAGTTCGGAATGAACCGAAAAGAATTGTCAAAATCAGGGTCAAAATGCCACTTAGCGCAGTTTACAGCCGCAAAAACACGTCATTGCCGACAAAGTCACGTGTACGTCATGTTCTCGGCTTGTTTGGTCCTGTCTGCTTTGGTCTCAACGTCAAAGTCTTTCCGCATGCGGGAGACGTACATAAGTCATCTCCCTGGCTTTTTGGGTATACCTCAGAAGTGATGATTCCACGAGTCTGCGACCTTCGACGTATAATGCATCTTGACCTACAGCACAAACGCACAAAGAGAAAATATAATGGGATGGAACAGCTTCAGCATCAAGCGTCCTCGCAAGAACAGTGAATAGGGCCAACGCAGGGTTCAAGTAGCCAACAGCAGAATAGATTGTATCACTCGTGCAATCGTCAAGCTGGTCATTTCATACTTGATATTCATTTGTTTTGCATACATAACGTCCCTTATCATCTAGAAGCTACAAAAGATGATAAACCAGTAACCCAAAACACAAGACAGCATAAGGTAGCTACGTGGAAAAGACCATACTATTCCAGCTCATATTTTACAATTCCACCCTCAACACTACACTCGAGTCAATATCAAAAGTCATGATGCGCGGAAGAAACAAAGAGGAGTCTTTAAACATTCTCAAGATGCGAAGGCCTGTCCTTCTCTCCATTCTCAACTTCAAAGTGCTCCTGCTCCTGCCCGCCCTTGTGGCCCTTCCGGCTCTTCACCCTCCCAACCACATTCCTACCCAAAATCTCCTCAGCTTCGCGAGAACCGGCCTTGGGCACAGTCTCGGGGTGGAGGGAGACTTTGACGGGGTCGAGGCCTTCGACGTAGGCTTTGGCAAAGATGATGTCGAGGTCTTCGAGGGAGTATCGCTTGGTCTCTGTATAGTGCGTTAGTGTGTTAGAAGGAGATGGGAGGAGGAGGAGACGTACCAGGGAAGAAGAAGTACAATCCAGGGAACATGATGATCCCGTTCATCGCCGCAAAGAACGCATACGTCCCCCATCCAATGTTCGCAAACATCGGGCCAGTCGCCATCACCACCATAAAGTTGAAGATCCAGTTACTCGCCGTCGACAGCGCGTTGGCGGGCGCGCGGACACGGAGAGGA